GGATGAAACAAATAAAATTGTTTGTTTCAACCGTCTATTACATGAATTGCATCCATAAATTGCATTCATTCTCACTTTAATAAAAATAAGATAAAGGATTAGTCGATGTGCTTTCCACGAATCAAAGTAGGGTGAAGAGCAAACCTTTCATCGTCAAGTTCTCTCCATCGGTTGATCTGCCTAAGGAGGATAATAAGCCTCAACCGTTGGATATCCGAGTTAATAAGGAAGAGGGGCCAAGAATGTCGTTACATTTGTTCACCCCATACATCAAATAAGGCTGCACCATGGAGATACGCATAAACATCGTCCATCCATCTCCAGCACAACCAACATTCGGGGGCAGAATTAGAAGTGAAAGAACCTATTCCCCCAAGGAGTTGTAAGACAACGCTCCTACAAATAAAGGAAAAATAATAAGACCGAAGAAAAACATAATTCAAAGGGGAAACCAAGAAGACTTTGGACTCACGATGCTAAGGCAGTTCTCTCAATGCTCCGCCAAAGAAACAAACTCACGGTAGGCGACAAGCTAGTCACAGTTTGAGCTAGAGACGATATTCAGATCAGCAAATCGTCTGCCCTACCTTGAATAGATGCGGCGGAAGAGGACCTAGAACATTTTAAATATCTTTTGCCAATATGAAAAGACTTTCCCAACGATATGAAGGTGACCCATATGATAAGGAAATATGGATGCCGCCCAAACCAAGGGCTCATTAGAAACTCTCAAGGAACAAGGGAGCCACCAAAATTTAAAGACAATCCTTTAAAGCAAAGGATCAAGCTGCACGGAAAAAAGGGAAGTCTCCCCTCCGCACACTCGAGCAAATTTTCCGAAGTGGAGGAGTGCAAGCGTCAAGAGCGTCCCTAGTCATTAGGAAATCTTTTTCTTCATTCAAAGGGATGTAAACCCCATGATTAGAGATTATCCCCCGGGGCTAGCCCGACCCCCGGGCATTTTAGGGCACATATTCCCTTATTAATTAATAAAGAATGATTCTTACTATTTGCTTCTCTTCTTTCTATTTCTGACTAGACCACATGAATAACCCTGTCTAAGTAAACAAAAAAAAGAAGAAGAAGAATAAAAAGCGCGTCCAAATAACCAAAATTCACCATTGCCATTACAGTCAAGCTAGTTGATTAGAAGCACCCAAATAAGGCTTTACCTCACCATAAAGAAAGTCATGCTTCGCCAATATTGTGAATCAAAAAATAAATACAAAAAAAAGAAAGCCCATAGAAGCCAAGGGCCAAAAACAGAAAAGGCAAATTACCCAGTAGGAAACCCACAAAGGGGGCTACGCAAAAGATAGGGTCAACCCGGTAGGACACCCGAACAAAAATAAAGGGTAGCCTAGGCAAAAGTTAGGGTTACAAAATAAGGTCCGCTAGGATTCCCCAAAAATATACAAAAAGAAGGAACCTAGACAAAAGATAGGGCCAAAACACAATATCCTAGTTCGAAAACCCAAAGGGCGATCTAGGGAAATCAGCTAGTCATCAAAGGGCAATAGGAATAAAACCAAAAGGGCGCAAATACAAAAGAAAAGGGGAAAACGTATGCTTAGACAAAAGCATAAGCACCTAAGCCTAACCCTGGCCAACCATTCTTACAAAAACCTTTTTCCAATAAAAATAACATTCTAAAACACAAGCCATTGAATTTACCTCTTTACTTCTTTTCTCTTGACCCTCACACCAAAATTCTAATAATTAATTTGGGAATATGGAGGCGCATAGTCAACAAGAGGATTGAAATCCCTAGAGTGGGGAAAGAGGGACACTACATGATAAAGAGTGCTCTACAAAAGAAAAAAAAAGGAAAAGAGGAAAAACCAATCATTCTTCGGTCACGACAAAATCGAGACGGCAAAATTGGTACAACCTATCCTATCGACGAAAACACATAATGTCAGAAGCTCATCAGAAGTAAAAGCACATTGGTTAATCCTTTTGAAAAATTAATTGAAATAGTATTATAGGATGCATATCGCGAAAATCGCATGCATATGATAGGCTCCTATCCATCAAAAAGAGAAGAGAAAGAAAAAATGACAATAAAAAGAACAATATGCCTGCTAGGAGATTCTTAGGCAAAAGTTAGGGTAGCCTGCTAGATCGAAAACCCGCAAAGGGCGGTCTAGGCAAAAGTTAAGGCATTCATAAAAAAAGGAAAAAGCCTGCTAAGATATCCTAGGCAAAAATTAAGGCAGCCCGCTAGATCGAAAACCCCAAAAAGGGCGGTCTAGGCAAAAGATAGGGCTAAAACAAAAAATGGATAAAAGAGAGGGAGGGGTCCTTCATCATACTCATAAAAACTCCAACAAGAGAATGCCAGTCATTTTTCCGGATGCATCAATCAAAAAGAATAGATTGCATTTAGGGCATCCACACACAAGTAGTCGCACAAAACGACTTTGTCAATGACCAAAATGAAAAAATATATATATAACAAAAAGAAACAAAAAACATTCATACATATAAGGAGACTAGCTCCATGTTTGTGATTGAAAACAGGATCACAGAGACTGAGTCTCCAAATAAAGCCTTCAAGAAAATGGAGCAAGTCGTCAAACAAGCGACTCAACAGAATAAGAGCTTCTGAAAATCAAGAGCTTTAGCTACCATCCTTCTACCCAGAAGAGAAGGCACAAGAAAGTAAGAAGTCTCCAAACATTGCTCTCCCTCAAGAAAGAAGAGCGAGTTGTCATAAGAAGCTTCCAGAAGTCAATAAAAGAGGGCACAATCATCAAGACATCATAAAAGAAAAGCCGACGGAAAGGCATAGTCATCCCCAAGAGGATCCTTGCCTACTCTAGAGGCAACACAAAAATATTCCTCACGGCTCAGCAGCATTACCACCACATGAGTCATCGAGCACACTCACCTAAAGTCTCCTCCACACTGGAGAATAAAGGCTTCAAGAGCTCATCATCATCAACAGTCAAAAGAGTCCAATCTCCATACCATCAAGGGCTCAACAAAAAGAAAGAAGAGAAAAGAAGAGAAAAGAAAACTCTTCATCCCCAACGGATAACAAAAAAGAGAGGCCACGATAGAGAAGGCCGAATAAAAATCTCCATTCCCCAGTAGAATAAGAGCTTCACAAGGTCAGCTCGCATCAACATTAATCAAGGAGTCAGGACTCCATTCTAGAAAAAACCGAATCCCCAGGAAGTTAACTAATTCCCTGGTAGATCACTAAGGAAATAAAGAGTCATCCCTAGTGGACCCTCCCAAAAAGAAGAGAAAAAGCCTGCGTGCATAAAAGAAACTAAAAAGTAAAAAGGCGCACGCATTACCAGGAAAGAAAAATCCAGATTTCAAAATCACGATAAAAAAGAGATAGATCGTGGAAAAAGGCAAAATCAAACAAAAATCCTAAAATCAAATCCCTAAAGTAGGTCACCTCAGAAAAAGGGAAAATCAACAAAAAAAAAAGAGAGGAATCAGAAATTCCATTTCCCCCAACAGAATAAGAGCACTACAAAAGCCAGCTCGCCACAACATCCAACAAGGAGTCAAAACTCCATTTCTTCAAGGGAGAAACCCAAATCTGATCCCCGGGAAGGCAACCAATTCCCCGGTGGATCAATCAAAAAGAAAAATCATCCCCAGTGAGCCTACTGCAAAGGCAAAACTTCATTTGCCTATGCATAGGCAAGACCTGACAAACAAGAGCCAGCATCCCCAGAAGGGAATATCAGCCTAGTCAGAGGCAAAACAAATGCAACCAAGAGTCTTTACCTCCAAATGAAGCATTTGCCTACTCAGAGGCATTACCAGAAACTCAATGGAGTATTTGCCTACTCAGAGGCACCACCAAGATCAACAAACCCCTAGAGGATTTCTGCCTACCTAAGAGGCACTCATCAAAAATCCCCGACAACCAGCAAAGTCGGATGACCTCTACCAAAAAGATCAAAATAACAAAGAATCCCTAGCAAACAACAAGCTGGATGGCTATCAGGAAAAGCCAAATAAACAAAGACTGCCCGACCAACCAGCAAGAGTCGGGTGATCACTATCAAAAATAAAGAAATCCCCAGCAATCAACAAGCTGGATGAACGCCAATCCCCGACACAGACCGGACGATGATCCCCAGAAAAGACAAAAAACAAAGAAAGAACACATCTCAACATCGGCGCATGGGCCACCTGAACTGTAAGCCGCCACCATAGCCAAAGGATCAGCCACCGCAAGAAGGGGGCATCCAGAGGCACCAAACCGGACGAGGGTTCGTACTCGTCAACCAAGGGGTCAGCTACCGCGTCGAAGGAGCATCCCGAGGTTTCACACCCGGCGCATGAGCTAGAGCAGTAAGTCGCCACCATAACCAAAGGATCAGCCACCGCAAGAGGGGGGCATCCAGAGGCACCAAACCAGATGGGGGTTCGTACTCATCAGCCCAAGGGTCAGCTACCGCGTCGAAGGAGCATCCGAAGGCTTAACACCAGATGGGGGTGTGAACTCATCAGGCCTTACAGAAGAGGGCTTACCGGGCGGGGGTTCGTACTCGTCAAACCGGGTGAGGGTTCGTACTCATCAGCCGAAGGGGTCAGCTACCGCGTCGAAGGAGCATCCCAGAGGCGCACAACATCATCTCCCCAGAGGATCGTCCGCCGCAAAGACGGAGTATCTGAAGGGAAACCGGGCAGGAGGGTCAACTCCTTTACCCCCCAGTCGATCACCTCGGCACAAAAGGCCAAGCAGTCGACTGGTCAGGTAAAGGGGGGGCAGCTGTAGACCCCAAATCTTGCCCGGCCTCCAAATAAAGACCAGAAGACCTCCTATTTGAAGATGAACGAAGCCTAACAAGCCATTAGGAGAGACTATTAGGCCCCATTTAAAGTAGGAAGGATTTTCTGTACAAAAATAAGGATTTTTGTCTTCAGGGGTCGAGACCGCCTTCCCGAATGTCGAGACCGCCTTCCCGAATGTCGAGACCGCCGTCTCGACCTTACTAGTCGAGACCGCCTTCTCGAATGTCGAGACCGCCTTCCCGAATGTCGAGACCGCCTTCTCGAATGTCGAGACCGCCTACCCGCATGTCGAGACCGCCTTCCGGAATGTCGAGACCGCCTTCCCGAATGTCGAGACCGCCGTCTGGAATGTCGAGACCGCCTTCCCGAATGTCGAGACCGCCGTCTCGACCTTACTAGTCGAGACCGCCTTCCCGAATGACGAGACCGCCTTCCCAAATGTCGAGACCGCCTTCCCGAATGTCGAGACCGCCTTCCCGAATGTCCAGACGGCGGTCTGGCCCTGTCAGACGAGAACGGCGTTATGGACCCTGCCAGGCCCGAAAAACTATAAATAGGGGTCCCCTCCCCCTCATTTCCACACACCACAAGCTTGCTAGCTGTCCCTTCTCTCTAAAATCTCTCTCTAGAATCCCTCCGAGGCATTTCCGGAGTTTCTGAGCGTCTTAGAGTGAGTTCTCGAGCGTTTTAGATCTTCTTTAGAATCCCTCCGAGGCATTTCCGGAGTTTCTGAGAGTTGTAGAGTGAAGGGCTGCCAAAACGCACCCTCTTTTTAAGAGAATTAATACAAAAAGCTTGCTTCGAAGGTGTAGAAATCCTCTCTTCTTATTTTTACCGCTTTAATTATAAATGTTGCAGTAGAAATTAGGGCCATGTAGTCATACTTTTAATTTCCGCATAATAAAAAGGGCAAAAGCATGATTTTCTAGTTCATTTACCAATAAATAAAGCTGGCCTGTCATAGGGAACCCGAAAGGGGCGTCGTAAAAGGGCTAACACCCCTTTTACACGTAACTAACTCCCTTACCCAACTCTGGTTTTAACGGACCAAAGTTGGTTTTTCGAAAACCAACGCCTTTTTTCCTCCTTTTCCGATGTTTCCGGTAAAAACATCGGTGGCGACTCCATAGAACCCATAAAAATAAGTCTTTAGGGTTAGCCCGGTTACCGGACAACTCAAAGACACTTTTTCGAAAACCTCGCTTTTAAGTTAGCCCGGTTATCGGACAACTAAAAGCGTTGTAACCAATAAAAAACGCGATTACGAAAGAAATAAAGAGTCGGAAAACCATCGCGTCGCTCCAACCGCCATTTATCCTTTTTGGAAGGCGGCGACAAGCATGGGAAAGACCAGTCTATATGGGGGATAAAGAACTCGGAAAGGTTCAGGTATCTACGTCCCACGAATATGAGGAATGGAGGAAAAGTAGAGGGATACCCCAACCATCTGTTACATTCACGACAACATTAGTCAATGAAGAGCTACAATTGCAGGTCAATGCCTTGAATAAAAGGGTAGAAGTCATGGAAGCTCAGCTAAGGGCCTTCGAAGAAAAAGAGCAAGAAGCAACCCTCACAATAGATGGTCTAAATAGGCAATGTAAAAAGAAGGACCATGAAATAAGAGCGCCTTAAGAATGATTGTGCTAATTATCAAGAAGAGACTAAACAAGCATATAAAATTCCGAGGCTTGAACAAGATAGTCTATTCCGAGACATGAGTGACGAAATAGCACATCTTGAGAGTGCGCTTGCAGAACAGGCAAAAACGATCAAGATAATACAGGATGACCTAGCAGAAACTCGGTCAGAAGCACAAAAGTGGTGGGAAACCGCTGAAAAATACAGAAAAGACCTAGAGGAGCTACATGATAAAGAAAGAGATGGATTAGCTCAGTATGGTCAATTACTTCGTGAAAAAGACCAAGTAATAGAGAGGTCTGACCAACAACAAGCCTTGATCGTTCATCAAGAAGAAAAGATAAAAGAGGCTCGTCGATATAGTGAAGATATGAGCCAGGCAGTACATGAGCAAATCAAGACGCTCAGAAATCATGTGAGTGTTAGATAAGTAGTTTTAGATCAAGAGGGGGGTGAATTGATCTTTGAAAGTTTTTCGCAAATAACAGATTATCTAATTCGAAAATTAAGTTTAAATATTTGTTCTTGAATCACAAAGCAATCAATTAAAATAAGCGCAGCAACTGAATTTAAAGGAGAGAAAGGTTAAGAAAGATATCACCGGTATTTTATACTGGTTCACCCAATACCGGGGCTACGTCCAAGTCTCCAGCCAAATTCCAGCTGGGTTCCACTAGATTAAATGTTTTACAGATTCAACAATCTTACACCTAATCTATCACAAGAACCAAATTCCAGTTCTCGCACTTAACCTCTCCACCAAGAACCAAATTCCAGCTTCTTGATAACCTCTCGCAACCAAATTCCAACTGCGAAAAACCAAGTACCCAAATTCCAGGCACCACACAAGTACAAGAACCAAATTCCAGCTTCCTGTACTCAACCTCTCCACCAAGAACCAAATTCCAGTTCTTGATAACCTCTGCAACCAAATTCCAACTGCAGAGAAACCAAGCACTCCAAATTCTAGGCACCACACAAGTACAAGAACCAAATTCCAGTTCCTCGTACTCAACCTCTCCACCAAGAACCAAATTCCAGTTCTTGATAACCTCCGCAACCAACTTCCAGCTGCAGAGAAACTTGTGCCCAAATTCCAGGCACAACACAATACAAAAGAATGAAAAAGAATTGACAAAGAAGAAACTAGAAAGCTCAAACCAGTTTATCCAAATCTGCAGAGAGTTTCTTCTTCAAAAGAATGCAAGTTGCCTCAAGAAAGATTTTCAAAATAACTTCAAAAAAACTGTTGCGAATCTTTCTTGAAAGAGTGCTAAAGTTGCTTGATTGATTGCTTAAGGATGTAAAAAACTGATGTTCAATCTCTGTTAAAAAAGTTCAAGCCAAACTGTTTTTATATGATATTTTCAAAAACTGCTGCATTAATTAATCTATTAAAAGTTTGTTTCCATCTGTTGAAATAGTCGTTTTAATCTGTTAAAAGTCCTTTCAATCCATTAATACGTTCTTGATTCTTTAACAGATTTGTTTTAGCTAATACTACAACCTTTATATTAGTTAAAACACTTTACAACAATTTTTCTAAGTTAATTCAATCGACTCTTTCGCGTTTTAATCGATTGAAATAGATCTGATCGGTCATAATTCAATTCTGATCGATCATAACAAACTCTGATCGGTCATAACTGCATTCTGATCGATCATTCTGACCCTTTAAGTGATTTTAATCGATTGAAACGTGTTTTAATCGATTGAAAAAGTTCTGATTGCTCATAATTCAAATCTGATCAGTTAAATTTGATTATGACCGGTCATATTTGTATTCTAATCGGTCATAATGAGTTCTAAAAGGTTTTAATCGATTAAAAGCACTTTGTATCGATTAAAATACTGTAAAAATACTTCTTTGAACATTCTAAGAGATTATAATCGGTTCTTTCAACACTATATCAGTTAAAAACATTATTAAGAAAGCTTTTGTTAAAATTCTTTGTAATTAATTGTTAAAAACGATTTTGGAGGCATTTTGCAAAATCATTTAAGAGAAGAAACTTCATGCAGCAGAAAAGATAAAGTGGTTTTACCTAAGCATTCTGTTAGACACACTAATCCTCTAGCTCTTTTATCTGAGTGACTTGTTGACCACTGCAAAGTTGACTTTTGACTTCATCTTTGACTTCATCAAATCAATTAGATTTTTGCCAAAGTATTTCAATAAGATCTTCATTACTTTCAGTCTCCCCCTATTTGATGAAGACAAACACCATTTTGAAAAAAAAAACTCTGCAAGAGAAGTCACTTGATAATACAGATTAGTGAGAAATTAAAAAATGTATTAATGTCCTATTTCTCCCCCTAAAACTTATTTCTCCCCTTAAAATGATTCTTCCTTAATGTAAGAGTTATTTCTCTAAATTGATCCTAAGGTAAAGCAACTATTTCTCCCCCTTTTGACTTCATCAAAAATAGGAAACAGAAGAGAAATAATGAAATGCAAAGGTTTTCAACAGTTTGAGTTTTTGAAAATAAAAAGAAATCAATACTTTACTCATGTAAAGATCAATTAAAGTTGATTCAAACTTATCTTCATTAACACGTTTGTAATGAATACAATTAACACGTGTAAAGATAAGGGAATCACGCTTTAGTAGCATGTTACAGAGAACAACCATTAACTAAAGCCTTTAATTTTTCTTTCCGAATAAAAATCGATTAAAAACAGGACAAAATCGATTAAAAAGTTTTTGTTTAATGATTTTAATCGATTGAAAGAAAGGTTTAATCGATTAAAAAATTTAAGAATTTGAAAACATGAAACTTTAGTGCAATTAATCGATTATTTCGACTTTTAATCGATTAAAACAAGTAATGAAAAATGTTGAATAAATGATTTTAATCGATTTAAAAGATGTTTTTATTGATTAAAACATTCAGATTTGAAAACTCGACATATCCGATGCGAATTTCTTATATCTAATTTAGTGAATATGTTGTGAACTGATTATCTAGAAAGGTGTATTATATCAGTCAAAGTTAAAGCAAAATGTGCCTGGTATATAACCAGTAACATTACAGATCCAGAAAAATAAGCATAAAAAAGTAATAAGATATAAGAGATAAGGTAAGAAGGGACCCTCTTTATCCATACTTCCCTGATTATTTGTGTCAGATACCAAAATTCATGACTCAGTCATTTGATCCTTACCAACTTTAAAAGGCCATAGGCTTCACTTTTTGCTGAAACCAATTTTGCTTTATCAACCATTGAGACACCAACAACTGTTTTTCCTATTATGAACCCTGCAGTTATCACCATCCAAGCAAATAACTACATTCTTAATGTAGTATGGAAGAAAATGATAGCGTGTTGTTATTCTTCCCTTCAAATGGATCAGTCATTTTCTTCAACTTTGTTGTTTCCAGTGGTATCATATACTGGAACATATGCATACAAAACAGAACTAGTGATGACAACGAATCCAGACTTCCCGGTCAATAACCATATCCATACATATTTCATACATCACTATTATCATGGGCATCAAAAAGCATCGTATTTGTCACGTAAATTTGCCTTCATTGAGGGAAGACAGCTTATGTTGGTTCCCAACATCTCGAAATTCCTTTAGAATCACTCGAAAGATCATCTTGTTGGTTTGTTGTTAAGGATGCCGGATTATCAGCATAAAATTGATCCCCGAACCGACCATAAAACACACATTCCCTATGGCACTTTTAGCTTTTCATTCAATTCTTGAATTGCTGTCTCGGATTGGTTTCCTTACGGTGACACCTCGTGACTTTGATGATTAATACGAA